CCCAGCCTCCCACGGACCTGCCCAGTGGGAAGAGAGGGCCTGGGCACCCCTTGGTCCTCAGCTTCTGTCCATGCCAGCCCACTTTGTCTCCAGACCTTCTGATCCCTTTATGGGTTTTGGGGTTTTTTTGGTTTTCTTTGTGGCCGCACCACGTGGCATGCGGAACTTCCCCTACCAGGGATCGAAGCCCTGTTGCCTGTAGTGGAAGCGCCGAGTCTTAACCAGTGGACCGCCAGGGAAGTCCCTTATCCCTTTAGAAGGGTGGACTTTCCCCTTCCTGCTGTCACCTCTCACTTTCAGTGCCCCGGCCCACGGGAGGAACGCCGGGGCCCTGCCACCCTCTCAGGGACCCTCGAGGCATCATCAGTGCAGGATGGGGCTTCATTCGGCATCCTTAGGATGAGCACCCATTTGCTACGAGCGTGGTGACGATAACCTGATGTGTAATAACCTAGCATGGAATAACGGATGACACGTAGGCCTCGTTTTACAAAGTGATTTCAGGATGAATTAGTGCCTCGCGGGATCCTGGTGACAATGCTGTGATGTAGGAAGGCCTGAGATGAAGAAGCTGAGGCCTAGAGAGTTACGTGGCAGAGCCAGGAGTCACGCCCACAGGGTCTCCCCACATCCTCTTGCTGCCTTGGTCCTGTCACCCAGGCGTGCCCCCGAGCAGGAAGCAGGCTTGCTTGTCACTGGAGACCCAGTTTAGACAGAGGGACTATTTTCAGGAAAAGGAAGAGCAGATGGGGAGGCTGGGAGAACAGGGCTTGTGGGTCTGGGGTAGAGGCACACTGGGGCCAGGCTTGCCTGGGAAGGGCCTGGAGACCTCCCGGGAGGCTCTGAGATCTGCAGGGAGGGCAGCATGGGAGTTGCAGTTCCTGTGCCTCAGTGGCTCACTCAGACCGAGGCTCACCGGCCATGCTGACCTCGGGCACCTGCTGGGCTGGGGATGCTGGACCAGGCCCTCCAGGTTTGGCCCAGGAGCAGTGGCAGTGGCCATCTCCGGCTTCCCTGTTGATGCCAGGGCTGAATGAAGCTGTCTTCGTCATCTGCCCCTTCCTACCTTGGCCTGCCCTCTCCCCTCAGCCATGCCTGACCTCCCTGGGTGGCCACACACACACATCTTCATGACCCTCCCCACCCTCCCGGTAGCGCTTATTGCTGACACAACTTCTGAGGCCGGTGCACTCAGGCTGCCCAGTTGGTGGGCGGTGAGCACACAGTGTCCTGTGCTGGAGGACACAGCCTGTGCCAACCGCACCTGTCTCTCCCGGACTCAGATCTGTGATGAAGCCGGAGGGGAAGAGGGAGGATGTGTGCCCTTCTTGGTGGAAGGCCTCAGCGATGAGACCCCCGGCTCCAGGGGCCACCTGAGACCTGGCCTGCAGGGCTCTCCATTTGTCTGCTGTCCCATCCCTTCACCCACCCCTCGTGGGCAGAGAAGGGGGAGCTAAAGGAGAAAACCACACGCAAAGCCAGCTCCTGGTTCTGCCCCAGCCTCGAACCAATTCCTGGAACCGCGACGATCACTTTCAAGTCTGAAGTATATTTATCTTTTATTAGATATTACAATCACTTGGTATTGCATTAAAACAGCAGAGAGGGGTATAATCCAGAGAAAAACAAGGTCCCTCCCACCCCTTTTACTCAGCTGCCTTGTTCTCCCCAGAAGAAAAAGCAGTGTTACCAGTTCTTTATGTATCTTTCTGGAGATAGGCTAGATTGCCCATCGGATATCTGATCACCGGAGCTCACCCTGCAAGGTCACGTCCTGCCGAGCTTTTCTACTTTAGGATGAGGAAGGATCAATTTCCCGGCTTTTTTTTTTTTTTAATTAATTTTTATTGGAGTATAGTTGTTGTATACAATGTTGTGTTCGTTTCTGCTGTAAGGCAAAGTGAATCAGTTATACATATATCTACTCCTTTTTATTTTTATTTTATTTATTTATTTATTTTTTGGCTTGTGGGATCTTAGTTCCCTGACCAGGGATTGAACCTGGGCCCTGGCAGTGAAAGCATCAAGTCCTCACCGCTGGACCACCAGGGAATTCCCCTCCACTGTTTTTTAGATTCTGTTCCCAGATAGGTCATTACAGAGTATGTCAACTCCTCTGCTTTGAACAGTCCTTGAGAACAAGACAGGAGGTGACCAGAGAGAAACTTCCACAGGGACTCATGTTCCAGCTGTCTCCCTTTCTCCACCCTCCACCCATACCTCGTGGATGCCCAAGGCAGAGGTGAAGAAGGGCAGACGGCCTTGGCCTTGTTTCTTAGAGAGGGAAGCTGAAGGGCCCAGGTGCTCAGGAGACTCAAGGTCATGCAGCAAATCCGGGGCACCCCAGTTTTCCTCTAGCATCACCCCACCTCCCTAACATCTTCCCTTTGTGTTGCAAGCAACCCTGAGTGCCTGAATATCTCATTGTCACAACTAGACCATGGACATCCCAAGGGCAGGGGTGAAGGCTCTTCTTCTTCTGCCCCCCAAGCTGGACTCCGAGCTGGGCCCTGCATGCTCTCAGCAGCTACCAACAATGTCACCTGGATCAAGTGAGAGAGGCAGAGGGTGTGCTGTTCCTGCAGGGCCCCCAAGGCCATGAAGTCTGTACCTGGACACACACATCCCTGCCCGCCACTCTCCCTGCCCCACAGGCCCCGGGCCTCCTGACTTTTCTCTTACACAGTTGGCTCAGTTAATGCCCCTGCTCACAAGGCCAAGGCCGGGGCTGGCTCCCCAGGGATGGAATCATCCTGAGACAAAATGTTCTGTTCCTTGCCCATGAACCGTACAGAGTGTTACAGATTACAACTGGAGGACAAAAAGAGACTGTCCCTCCGTGAAATGCAGCGCACGTTTCTCCTGCCGGAGACAGGTGACTTCCTTTGTGATCATCTCTCCCAATTCCTCCTCACGCCACCCCTGTGATCCTTGGGCTTTCTCTGGGATGAGCCCTGGTCCATCCTCCCGTCTGTCTTTCATGTAAAGGCTCACTTTGGTAAAGCAGGTCTCTCTCTGAAGGTCACAGAGTGCCCAGAGGGATTCAGTGCTCAGAAAGAAGGGTAAAAGAAGGGACAGTGGCTTCAGAAGGTATGAGCTGTGCCTGTTTAGTGATGCAGCAGGAACAAGGGGAGACTTTATTTATTTCAGGGAACAGACAGTATCTGCCACGGCTATTCTGTGAGCTCAGGCTCAGCTCTAGGGTGGATGTGAGGACGCCAGCGGAGTGAGGGACTCCTGGGAGGGGGGGTGGCAGAGAGGCCTGTGGACCAGAGGGGGTGCTGACTTAAAAGGATTGGAAGGCCGTGCTGCTGGAGGGGAGATAGACGGGTGGAGGTAAAGGGGCTGGAATCAGAGAGGGGATTCCTAATCATGGGTGAGGAAATGGTGAATCCAAGGTATGGCAGGTCAAGGGTCACAGAGAAGGAACCTGGAGGCTCTACCTAAAAATCAGTGTACTCACAAAAGAACTGATCTGCTCCGGGAACTGGCTCCCCTTCCTGCTTCCTCACTCTAGCTCAAGGCGTCACCATCCTGATGGGCCAGGGTACTTGGTCTGGGCCCAGATCTCACCTGATTCTCACCAGGCTCCCCAGGGACCAAAGCTCTATCGTGGGATCTCAGGTCCCAGCTGCCTTCCTGGAATTCCAACCATGGCCTCCCACCAAGCCCACCACCCTCCAGTGCCTCCCTCTCTCTGGATTTCCATCACAATGGCTGTGGGAGGTCTGGGGGAACCTGGCTGGGAGTAAGGGATGACTGCTAAATTAAATGGAATGGAATTGGTGTGTTCAACCGCTGACCATTAAAAACGGTGGCCTTTCTTTCATCTAGCCATAATGACACCACTCCTCCGAGAAACTGTTTACAAGGTGCTAGTAGAATCAGCCACGTATATAGTAGGCCTTTGTCAATAGTATGAGCAACAGCAGGAGTTCCCTGGTGGCCTAGTGGTTAGGATTCCGGGCTTTCACTGCCGTGACCCGGGTTCAATCCCTGGTCGGGGAACTGAGATCCCCGCAAGTCGTGCGGTGTGGCCAAAACCAAAACAAAACAAAAAATATGAGCAACAGGGGCTTCCCTGGTGGCACAGTGGTTGGGGGTCCGCCTGCCGATGCAGGAGACACGGGTTCGTGCCCCGGTCCCGGAGGATCCCGCGTGCCAGGGACCGGCTGGGCCCGTGAGCCATGGCCGCTGAGCCTGTGCGTCCGGCGCCTGTGCTCTGCAATGGGAGAGGCCGCAACAGTGAGAGGCCCGCGTACCACAAAAAAAAAAAAAAAAAAAAAAAAGAGCAACTACATCACAAGGGTTCACGGCTAGTGAACACGCTCTCACTTGGCCTCTGGGTCTTCACTCTTTCATGGTTTCCCATCTGTATCACTGGCCCCTCCTTCTCTGTATATTTTTCTGGTTCCTGTTCACCTTCCTGACATCTAAACATTGGAGGGCCCAGTACTCAGTTCTTCTACCCATCTCTGTCCTTATTCACACCCAGATGACCTCATCCAGAGATTTAAGGTTCATCTCTCTATGCTGACAGCTCCTAAATTTATATCTTTAGCCCTGGCCTGTCCCTTGAACTCTAGGCTTGAACACCCAACGGTCTACTCAAGACCTTGACCTGGATGTCATAGCCATGACCATGACAGACGTGGCCAATATAATCTCCAAAAACAAACTTTTATTCCCCACCGAACCTGCTCCTGCCACAGCCTTCTCTAGCTCAGAAAATGGCTACATGGCACCTTCATTCTTCTTGTGCTCAGACCAAAACCAGTTTAAGACTTGATGTGTTTCTTTCTTTAAAAAAATTTATTTATTTATTTATTTATTGGCTGTGTTGGGTCTTCGTTTCTGTGCGAGGGCTTTCTCCAGTTGCGGCAAGTGGGGCCCCCTCTTCATCACGGTGCGCGGGCCTCTCACTGTCGTGGCCTCTCCTCTTGCGGAGCACAGGCTCCAGATGCGCTGGCTCAGTAGTTGTGGCTCACGGGCTTAGCTGCTCCGCGGCACGTGGGATCCCCCCGGACTGGGTCACGAACCCGTGTCCCCTGCATCGGCAGGCGGACGCTCAACCACTGCGCCACCAGGGAAGCCCCACACACCACTTTTGATGTTTGCAATGGACTTCTATACCGACGCCAGCCTATTCCAGGTGGGGACCCATTCTGCCTGGTCTGTGTGACAGGTCACATACCCACTGCGTCTCACAGCCATTTACAATGTGACGAGTGTGAAAGCCACTAGCAGCAGCGGGTGACTCCGCTGTGGGGATTAACTGTGCCAAGGGAGAGGCAGGAGTGAAAAATAGATCCTAGGTTTCAAGCCTGGAAGAACGATGAGGTCAGTGTGGAGTGTTGAACTTTGGGGCCAGCATTGGTCTGACAGCAACGTGAAACTTTCCCTCAAGCAGGTGGATGTGTGGGTCTAGAGTCACCAGAAAGGTCAGGCGGGGCTGGGGTCTTTGGAGGCAACCACATAGATGTAATGGCTGAATCTGTGTAGAGAGAAAAGAGCAGAAGACTGAGGATTAGACATCTGGAAACATCTCTGTCCACCCATGAAGCAAAAATAATTCTCAGGAGGGAATTCCCTGACGGTCCAGTGGTTAGGATTCCATGCTCCCAGTGTAGCGGGCACGGATTCGCTCCCTGGTCAGGGAACTAAGATCCCACAAGCCTTTGGCGTGGCCAGATAATAATAATAATAATAATAATTTCCAGGAGAAGGAATCACTCTAGCCAGATTCTCAGATCCCCAGTGACTTCCTTGCTGGCCTATCATGGGGTGGGGTGTAGGGCGCCTGGCCAGGAGGGCAGCTAGTCTGGGCCTCACTTTCATAATGGGTCTCAAATTTAGACTCTTGATGTTATTTCCAAATAGGATTATATATACAGTCACAGAGAGGCCCTGAGAGAGATGAAAAAAAAGACATTTATCAGATTTAAATGTGTGGCTTACTGACTGGACTTGCTGCACAATGGATTCATATTTCATTAAAATTCTGTGAATCATACAATTATATTTTATTGTATGTCTTATGTTAAAGTACTAGTTACAGGTGAACATTTAAAATATACCATAATTTGGTCATTCTAACCTGGCATTCCTTATTGTGTGATAAAGGATCTCCCTAATTCGAAGTAGGCAGGACTGTCTTTGCTGCTGTTTCTAACCCAAAGAGCCAGAAATCCAGCTCCTGGCCTTCAGGGGCTTTACTGTCCAGCCTGAGTTACCAGCTGATTTCTTCAGCTGCTTCTCAAGTCAATCTGTCTTAGAGTCCGGATTCACCTGGACTCAGAATATTTTTCCTTTAACTCCACCTCCCACCTCAACCTTAAATTACCCTTAAATTAAAAAAAAAATTATTCGAAAGAGCTTTACTTTTTAAAATTTAGCTTACTAACTGTGCTTGTGCTCTGTCGTTCAACACTTCCCCAATTTTCTGCTCCTCGGTAAGGAAAGCATGCTTGATCCTGTCAGACTTGAAACCACCGTAAGCCCTGCTGACATACTTTTTCATTTTAGGCAACCTCAAAAGAAGTTTAGGTCTCAGAGCACGAACTTCTTGAAGTCAGCCTGGGCACATGTCACTTGCAGATTTGGTGCTTTCCTAACCTTCTTGGTATAAAGGTAAACAATTCTATTACCAGGAGTAATAGTTTTGTAGGATAGCCTATATGTCAAATGCCAGACCCTTCTAAATGCCTCTAGACACTGTCTCCAGAAAAAAAAAAATTATTTTTAATTGTGGTGAAATACATGTAACATAAAATTTACCATCTTAGCCATTTTTAAAGTGTACACTTCCGTAGTGTTAAGTGCATTCACATTGTTATGCAACTAATTTCCAGAACTCTTTTCATCTTGCAAAACTGAAATTCAGTACCCATTGAACAACAGCTCCTCTTTCTCCCTTCCCCCCAGCCCCTGGCAACCACCATTCTTCTCTGTCTCTATGAATTTGACTACTCCAGGAACCTCATATAAATGGAATCATACATTTGTGTAACTGGCTTATGTCACTTAGCATAATGTCTTCAGGATTCATCCATGTTGTAGCATGTGTCAGAATTTCCTTCCACTGTAAGGCTGAGTAATATTCCATTGCATGCATGAACACATCATATTTTGTTTATCCATTCATCCATCAGCGGACACTTGGGTTGCTTCCACCTTTTGACTATTGTGAACAATGCTGCTATGAACATGGATGCACAGATATCTCTTCAAGACTCTGCTTTCAATTCTTTTGGATACATACCCAGAAGTGGAATTGCTGTATCATATGCTAATTCTATTTTAAATAATTTGAGGAACCACATACTGCTTTTTATAGTGGATGCACTATTTTATATTCCCATCAGCAGCGTACAGGGATTCCAATTTCTCCACACCCTCAACGACACTTACTTTGTTTTGTTTTATTTAATTTTAATATTTATTTATTTATTTTTGGCCATACTGCGAGGCATGTGGGATCTTAGTTCCCTGACCAGAGATCAAACGTGGGATCTCGGCAGTGAAAGTGCGGAGCCCTAACCACTGGACCACCAGGGAATTCCTGTTTTGTTTTGTTTTAATAGTAGCCATCCTAATGGCTATGAAGTGGTATCTCACTGTGGTTTTGGTCTGCATTTCCCTAATCACATCCCCAGTGATATTGAGCATCTTTTCATGTGTTTATTGGTCATTTGTATATCGCCTTTGAAGAAATGGTTTATTCAAGTCCTAGGTCCATTTTTTAATGGAGTTGTTGGTTCTATTTTTTGTTGTCAAATTGTAGTTTTTTGTTTCTTTAATTTTTGAATTGAATTTTATTTATTTTTTTATACAGCAGGTTCTTATTAGTCATCAATTTTATACACATCAGAGTATACATGTCAATCCCAATCTCCCAATTCATCACACCACCACCCCACCCCCCGCCGCTTTCCCCGCTTGGTGTCCATACGTTTGTTCTCTACATCTGTGTCCCATTTTCAGCCCTGCAAACTGGTTCATCTGTACCATTTTTCTAGGTTCCACATATATGCGTTAATAAACGATATTTGTTTTTCTCTTTCTGACTTACTTAACTCTGTATGACAGTCTCCAGATCCATCCACGTCTCTACAAATGACCCAATTTTGTTCCTTTTTATGGCTACTATTCCATTGTACATATGTACCACAACTTCTTTATCCATTCGTCTGTCGATGGGCATTTAGGTTACTTCCATGACCCGGCTATTGTAAATAGTGCTGCAATGAACACTGGGGTGCATGTGTCTTTTTGAATTATGGTTTTCTCTGGGTATATGCCCAGTAGTGGGATTGCTGGATCATATGGTAATTCTATTTTTAGTTTTTTAAGGAACCTCCATACTGTTCTCCATAGTGGTTGTATCAATTTACATTCCCACCAACAGTGAAAGAGGGTTCCCTTTTCTCCACACCCTCTCCAGCATTTGTTTTGTGTAGATTTTCTGATGATGCCCTTTCTAACTGGTGTGAGGTGATACCTCATTGTAGTTGTGATTTGCATTTCTCTAATAATTAGTGATGTTGAGCAGCTTTTCATGTGCCTCTTGGCCATCTGTATGTCTTCTTTGGAGAAATGTCTATTTGGGTCTTCTGCCCATTTTTGGACTAGGTTGTTTGTTTTTTTAATATTGAGCTGCACGAGCTGTTTATATATTTTGGAGATTAATCCTTTGTCCATTGATTCATTTGCAAATGTTTTCTCCCATTCTGAGGGTTGTCTTTTCGTCTTGTTTATGGTTTCCTTTGCTGTGCAAAAGCTTTGAAGTTTCATTAGGCCCCATTTGTTTATTTTTGTTTTTATTTCCATTACTCTAGGAGGTGGATCAAAAAAGATCTTGCTGTGATTTATGTCAAAGAGGGTTCTTCCTATGTTTTCCTCTAAGAGTTTTATAGTGTCCAGTCTTACATTTAGGTCTCTAATCCATTTTGAGTTTCTTTTTGTGTGTGGTGTTAGGGAGTGTTCTAATTTCATTCTTTTACATGTAGCTGTCCAGTTTTCCCAGCACCACTTATTGAAGAGACTGTCTTTTCTCCATTGTATATCCTTGCCTCCTTTGTCATAGATTACTAGACCATAGGTGCGTGGGCTTATTTCTGGGCTTTCTATCTTGTTCCATTGATCTATGTTTCTGTTTTTGTGCCAGTACCATATTGTCTTGATTACTGTAGCTTTATAGTATAGCCTGAAGTCAGGGAGTCTGATTCCTCCAGCTCTGTTTTTCTCCCTCAAGACCGCTTTGGCTATTTGGGGTCTTTTGTGTCTGCATACAAATTTTAAGATTTTTTTGTTCTAGTTCCATAAAAAATGTCATTGGTAATTTGATAGGGATTGCACTGAATCTGTAGATTGCTTTGGGTAGCATAGTCATTTTCACAATAGCGATTCTTCCAATCCTAGAACATGGTATATCTCTCCATCTGTTGGTATTATCTTTAATTTCTTTCATCAGTGTCTTATAGTTTTCTGCATACAGGTCTTTTTGTCTCCCTAGGTAGGTTTATTCCTAGGTATTTTATTCTTTTTGTTGCAATGGTAAATGGGAGTGTTTCCTTAATTTCTCTTTCAGATTTCTCATCATTAGTGTATAGGAATGCAAGAGATTTCTGTACATTAATTTTGTATCCTGCAACTTTACCATATTCACTGATTAGCTCTAGTAGTTTTCTGGTGGCATCTTTAGGATTCTCTATGTATAGTATCATGTCATCTGCAAACAATGACAGTTTTACTTCTTCTTTTCCAATTTGTATTCCTTTTATTTCTTTTTCTTCTCTGATTGCCGTGGCTAGGACTTCCAAAACTATGTTGAATAATAGTGGCGAGAGTGGACATCCTTGTCTTGTTCCTGATCTTAGAGGAAATGGTTTCAGTTTTTCACCATTGAGAATGATGTTTGCTGTGGGTTTGTCATATATGACAAACCTTCATTATGTTGAGGTAGGTTCCCTCTATGCCCACTTTCTGGAGAGTTTTTATCATAAATCGGTGTTGAATTTTGTCAAAAGCTTTTTCTGCATCTATTGAGATGATCATATGGTTTTTCTTCTTCAATTTGTTAATATGGTGTATCACATTAATTGATTTGCGTATATTGAAGAATCCTTGCATCCCTGGGATAAATCCCACTTGATCGTGGTGTATGATCCTTTCAATGTGCTGTTGGATTCTGTTTGCTAGTATTTTGTTGAGGATTTTTGCATCTATATTCATCAGTGATATTGGTCTGTAATTTTCTTCTTTTGTAGTGTCTTTGGCTTTGGTATCAGGGTGATGGTGGCCTCATAGAATGAGTTTGGAAGTGTTCCTTCCTCCACAATTTTTTGGAAAAGTTTGAGAAAGATAGGTGTTAGCTCTTATCTAAATGTTTGATAGAATTCACCTGTGAAGCCATCTGGTCCTGGACTTTTGTTTGTTGGAAGATTTTTTTTTTTTTTTTTTTTTGCAGTACGCAGGCCTCTCACTGTTGTGGCC